TATAAGTGAACCTCGATACGTTAAATTTTAGTTTTATTTTTATACCACATTTGGCCTACTCATACTCAAAAGTACTTTCTAAAGTGACACGGGGTGTCCCACTTCGAGTGAAACTGTATGATTTTTTTTATTATTGATTATTATAACGGGTAGGTTCAATAGGAAGGATTTTGGTCTTTGTGTGTTGACTAAAGTTCTGTTTAGAAAAAAATGGGGATCCTATTACCACCTATATCTATTAGAATGTGAGGCCACAATTCGTTAGAATTCAGTGCACTGCCTGTGCCGTCATTTGATCTAATCGAGTGCGTCCGTTACGTTGTTAACAGTGCGGCACATCAATAAACTACCGTACATGTACTAAGCGAACAAATTGGCATCTTAACCATATACGTCAAGTGACGTCACACGCTGAAACGAAGTTATTTTTCCAAGCGCAACTTTAAAATCTTGTAACTTTTTCATTTGTGGAGTTATTTTAATGATTCATTTGCAGTTTTGTTTCATTTCACTTAAGTATTCATAATAATCAATTTACAACAAAAAAAACTGGAAACTTCTCCATTCCCTCCATTATTAATAAACAGAACACCGAACCGAACTGTACTGTAAGGTTTATTAAAGTGTTATTGTGGTTTATTGGAGCTTTATTTTACTTTTTGTAGTTTCGATATAGGCAAAAATATTTCTAGACCATTTTGTGCTCATTTAAACAATCGTTAAAAACAGAAAAGTTGGTACAGCAATATCATCAGACAAACGATAAAACGCATTGCCGTGGGACACAAGAACTAAATTTTGTGCCTTTCCTAACGTCCTCAATTTTTAGAAAATTCCCTTGGAAACGTAGTATGTGACATAAGTTTCCCTTATGTGCAGGAACAAAAGGTTGAGTACTTTCAAACTTCTTCATTATTGCAACGAAGGAAATGATTGAAATATGTAAATAAATAAATAATAATAGCAAACGTACCACAATAAATCAAATGACATGATTACCTAGGTATGCTACCGATAATAAATTTCTGCTACCAATTTTTAACAATGAAGTCTAAATGGGAGGACAATGGGCTGGCGTTCGAGAGAGGGTGGAATAGTTTATAAATTCTTTGCAACGTTATATGAAATTGCAATATCAAGTTGGTACTTAGTATACACCTTTTCAATTCTTTAGCTTCCCTCATCTAATTTGCGACAGTATCGGACCTTTTAAATGACTACACTAATATTTTGTTATAAATCACCTTTGAGCATATTTGGCCGCGAGTGCCGCCTCCTACCGAATAAGTTATAAATTTGGGTGAAAAATTGAAAACCGTCCCGGTGGGCTGGGATTAAAATAGTCCCACTACTTTACGATGTGGGGATTAGTCTTGATTACAGGGCGCTAATTTGCACTTTGTTAAACGGACCTTTTCTAATAAATTATAATCGTTTCAGTTTAGGCGATCTTAAATCATTTTCGTTTGCAATTTTATTTTCGGTGGTAGATAGATGATAATCGAGTGGCGTTGCGTTCAGTTTTAGTAGCTATAATAAATAAGTACCTACTAAACACCGACCGCTCTTTCCGGTATTATCTAAATATCTACGTGTAAGGTAATCAAGTAGTACCTTAAAAGTCGACACTACATAAAATATCTAAAATACTATTAAAGCCGGACGATGTCGTAAAAATGTCCATAGGCTTATTTACGACGATCGTTTGCACTTCTGTTTGTGCTTTCAGATATTTTTCTTCAGTCGTAATTTCTGTTCCTGTCCTGTTAAAGCTCCTTTCCCCTTCCGAGTCGAGTTATTATCTATTTAATTTCGTACAAGTGTAATGCGAGGGCGCGTGGCAAAGCAAAACTTCCGTGCAAACTTTCCGACAGTTGGTAAGCGAGACGATTTTTGACCGGAACTGCAGCAGATTTTAGGATTCGGATGATTGTGTGTATGTATAGACGCATTTAATATACTTGATGGTATAATGAATACCAAAAGTCGTTCGTGTTTGGGGATTATGTGTCGGTTAGGACAATATCTATTACCTTTCTAATTGATTTGTAATTCGTCCCGTTCTTATCGATAAAAACCAATAAAGGACTTCGGCGCGACTGCTGTTACAACCAAATACCTACTGCCTTACCTGGAAGGTTTCTTCTTGTCCTTAGATGTTATGTTAAAGGATTTGTATAGGACGTTGAAAAAACCTTTAAACATGAACAATATTAAATTTAAAAATAGGTTTCTCTCCTCACTCTCTTTGCCCTAAGCAGCAGAAATATCCTTGTTCTTACCCAAGTTTTCGTTCATCCACTGCTCCGGCGTAACCCAATTCTACTAAGCTGCTTCCGCAGTCTCCTGTTGATGAGAAAAGTTGACTCAACCAGCAGTTCATTGTATCATGAGTTCAACCACACAGAACTACATCATAGATATGTATAAATCAGAAGGAAAAAAACGACGTTCTCTAACAATTTTGCATTACCAGATTACTTCGAGCTATCTAAGGTATCTTGAGGCTTACCAGAATCGTTAAATTACTTAAAGAAGTACTCGAAATCGGAAGTACTCCTAAGTGTTGTACAAATTTCCGAAATTAACTTAATGCCTCCTTTCACATTAAATTAGCGCTTATGAAACAGTCTGTCGAGGATTCGATCCTGAATGGGAAACGTCCCAGTTCATTCTGTAATGGGATATTACATAAGGAATTAAGGGTTGAAAGTCTTACCTCCTTTTTCTTTTTTTCTTGAATCTTTTGTTTGAGAGCAACTTCCTGATGGTTAATAAATAATAACAATTCCAACAATAAACTATATTATTAAAATCAAACTCAATCCAACTCCATTTCCTTAAGATTAATTCAATGAAACCTTTCCAAATCCAACACTTTTTACCAAATTCTAAAACCATGACCCCGTTTTTCTAAACCTTTCTAACTCTTAACTCTACTTTTTCCTCCTAGTATGAAATAAACATTGAACATACCCTTAATTGTCACTATTACAAGTACCTGTTTATTATCACAAATTACTTTTTTCCAAGGACGTTTTTTATTAAATGAACAGAAATTTAATTACCCGTGCGGGGTTGCTAGTCCCCCATCGGGCGCCTCCCCAGGTGGCGGATAGAGGAAAGCCTCCTAGATATAGTAGGTGGCACCGGGGAAATGAAATACTTGGGGCGGACCAAAACTAGCAGCGGCGTCTGGCCAGCGTGGTGTTTTATGTGCAAAATTACCCCTAAGAATGCCAAACTTATAAAGGAAATGTACCCCAGGTGGGTAGGTTAAATCCGGAATCCCACATCGGACGACCGATCAGCCTCAAGGATTCTGGGAGAAGCAAAAGCTCGACAAAGACAGGGAAAAATCAGAGAAAACAAAACCAGCAGAAACAAACAGAATACAACAATAGATCCAATCCATCAATATGAAAAAATAAACGAACTCGAAGAGGAACTAAGTAAAATCAAATAGGACATTTTAGGGATATCAGAGGTTAAAGGAAGAGGGGAAATGTGTATAGACCTACATTCAGGAAATCACTAGAAGATGAAAATATAAAACCAACAATAATTATGGGAGATTCAGGAAGAAAACGGAAGGCTCTGAAAACAAAATAAAAGAGTATGGACTTGGAACCAGGAATACTAGAGGTGACCGACTACTGGACTATTTAGAACAACAAAACCTTCCCGCAATCAATACGTACTTTAATTTGAAAAAAACACAACCGAAAATGGACATGGGTCTCCCCTGATGCGAAGACAAAAAATGAAATAGACTACTTCTTCTTCAAGAACAAACAAATCTTTAAAGACGTAACCGCGCTTAATAAATTTTCAACGGGCAGCAATCATAGTATACTAAGAGCCAACATAGAAATAGATAAACTAGAGATGAAGAAAACAAGAAAGAAGCCCACGGTAATCAACCATAATAGAATAAGACAAAACGCGGAAGAATATAGACAGATCTTGAGAAGAACCCTTAAATGACAGTCGGAAGCAGAAGAGAGAGACATTAATAAATCAATAACGAAATGAAAGAAAACCTATTAGAAGCGGGAATGGAAAGGTAATAAAAACTGAGCACGAAAGGAAATAAACTAAGTAATGAGACAATTAAATTAATGGAAAGTAGACGAAAATTAATAAACGAAGACAAAAGAAACCCAGTAGAATACCTAGAGCTGAACAAACTTATTAGGAGGAAAACAAGAGAAGACCTAAGAAAATATAATGAAACCGAAATCGAAAAGGTAATCGAAAGGAATAGGGGCCTAAAACGCTTACGACCAAATTTGGGCAAACCAGTACTTATTTCAATAAATGACGAAGCAGGAAATTATATAAGAAATACAACTAAAATATCAAAAGAAGTAGAAAGATTTTATAAAGAACTATACACCTCTAAGAAAGATGCAGACGTAAACACAGAAGGATATATTAAAAAAAGAATTACGAATTTGAACTCGGAAATACTACCAAAAATAGAGAATTGCGAAATTAAAGCCGCACTATCACAGCTAAAGAATAACAAAGCACCGGGACCAGATGGAATCCTCGCCGAAATGTTAAAGGAGGAAAAAGGAGAAGTTATGGAAACATTAAGAAATCTCCCCTACTTTTGATTGAGACGTCTAATCGAAAAAGTACCAATCGTTTTGGATTCTACGCACCCAAATTAATAAGAAAAAGTTTTTTCCCGAGAAATTTTGGTGCAGTCAATTTTGGGTAAAAAAGGAAGGTTATACACTGCCTTTTTTTTTATACACTGCGTTTTTTTTTTGCCCAGAAAAAAAAATTGTCTCAGATTGACCGGAAAAAAATATTTTCTTATAGAATGTGGCCTGTAGAATCCATAATTTCAAACAGTTCCAAGATCGGGCTACTAGATCAAAAGTTACAGCCTTTTGAATTTTTTGTCGAAATTGGTTTTTTGCCCATAACTTTTGATTGAGGCGTCTAATCGAAAAAGTACGAATCGTTTTGGATTCTACGCACCAAANCAAATGCATGTGCTGAAAAATGCTCGTGGTTGGGTAGAAAAAATAATTTTGCTATTCATAAGTTACACTTTGTTTCTATAATCAAAGGTATGCTTATTATTAAGTAATTATATTTGAATAATTTAGATATTTTTCAGAGGTTCTCTGTGCCATGTACCCAACATTAAAAGAAAACGACTTCGAAAAGTCTTGTGGCGAGTGGTTCCGCTTCGCTAAACAAAGATTAAACAGACAAAAGTAAAAAACATGTTGTACATATTCAGAGGTAATAAAATTTGTTTTATTGATGTACTGTTTAATTATCCTGCCTCACATTCATTTTTTGTTTCAATTTTGTAGTAATGGTAATATAACACCTTTAATAGCAGTTATATAACATAGATACCTAACAAATATATTAATAGTATATATAATAGTAATATGATTAAGTTTTATAACTGCAACATATTTCTGTTACATAATATAAACATAACTCAACGATATAACTGTTATGTTACTGTGGTGTTGCTTTGAGTGGGAAATTTTAACTTTCTGGTAACTTACTTGTAATAGTAGATTTACATTACTGGTACATTGTGTATGTAACTCTGATATATAACTTTTACATAAAAGGTATGTATCAGTGTTTGCTGGGTAGCGTGAGGACGCTTACTGAAAGTGAGGGATGTAGTAAATAATAATAATTTAGACTTGATGAACTCGCTTCCTTTAAAACACGAACGTGTAATAAATTCTCCTCTTTCTCTATTTATAGAAGATGTAAATGAGAAGTAAAATAAATTTCAGTTGACACTGACTCCATCTCTTTAATGTACTTTGTTGCAACAATTCGCCAACGATCGATTGGTTTGTTAGATGTCGCTGTATGTCGATATTTCAATTTGTAAATTTTAACTGCGGTGAATGCAAATTTAGCTATGGGACATTAGTTGGTCTATAAGCTAAGAGGTTTATAATTAATCAGGTTCAAGTTCAAAAGCTCAGTCGTTTTCTGACAGCCGATGAAGTATAAATTCATTGGAAAGCTTCTTATGAATTTTGAATTATAAATTGTGTTGGCAATTTTAGTTAGTGCTTGATTGTGCACGAAAAAGAAACCCATCCCTTGTTGAGGTATAGAGTACTCGTTTTTCGTGCAAACTTTATACCACTTTTAGAAGCACTAACGAAATGTCTTGTGGCAATCGTTAGTGCTTGATTATGCACGAAAAGGTAACACAGCTCCTCCGCCCCTTTTTGGGGTACAGGGTATCCGCTTTTCGTGCCAACTTCACACCACTTTTAGACGCACTAGCGTAATGTTTTGTACCAAATTGTTACCACCTGCATGATACGCGGACCACGTGGAGAAAAAAAAGGGCATGGATCACGGTAAGGGACAGTGGCTTTGTACAAAAAGTTTCCCGAAGGACTTTTGTGTCAAAACCAACATTAACATTAATGGATATCCACAATATAGGAGAATGGGAGAAGCTTTACCGTAAATGGTACACGGTACACAAAATAAATCTTTGGATATTACTTATGTTTTTTTCAACAGTCCTTAAAATAAGGGAGCTATGAAGATTTTTCGAAACTCAAATGAACGCCAATAACCGTGGCACTAAATCAAGAATCGGAACTAACAAATGTTGTTTGTTTTTATAGAGTTCTGATAGCCGTTTTCGGGTGTAATGACTTAATATTAACACCCCAAGAAATACACTGCAAATATTCAAGATTTGTTGCCAAACAGTAGAACCCCGATTATCCGTGACGCGATTTCCCTTAATTGAAATTACATGTTACATTTACGCACCATACACCAGAAGCTTAAAAAAAGCTTTTCACACAGACCAAAGCATAGATATCTGAAAAATATCCCTTTTTTGGAAAATTAACTAATTCGAGTAAATATTTTACTTTGGATATTTAAAGTACAAATGTTCTTGTATAAGGCTACTAGATCAAAAGTTACAGCCCTTTGAAAATTTTTTGTCGAAATTGGTTTTTTGCCCATAACTTTTGATTGAGACGTCTAATCGAAAAAGTACGAATCGTTTTGGATTCCACGCACCAAAATTAATAAGAAAAAGTTTTTTCCCGAGAAATTTTGGTGCAGTCGATTTTTAGTAAAAAAGGAAGGTTATACACTGCCTTTTTTGAGGCCGGAAAAAAAATTATCTCAGATCGACCGGGAAAAAACATTTTCTTATAGAATGTGGCCTGTAGAATCCATAATTTCAAACAGTTCTAAGATCGGGCTACTAGATCAAAAGTTACAGCCCTTTGAAAATTTTTTGTCGAAATTGGTTTTTTGCCCATAACTTTTGATTGAGACGTCTAATCGAAAAAGTACGAATCGTTTTGGATTCTACGCACCAAAATTAATAAGAAAAAGTTTTTTTCCGAGAAATTTTGGTGCAGTCGATTTTTGGTAAAAAAGGAAGGTTATACACTGCCTTTTTTTGAGGCCCGCAAAAAAAATTTCTCAGATCGACCCGGAAAAAAATTTTCTTATAGAATGTGGCCTGTAGAATCCATAATTTCAAACAGTTCCAAGATTGGGCTACTAGTTCAAAAGTTACAGCCCTTTGAATTTTCTTTCGAAATGGGTTTCTAGTCTATAACTTTTGATTGAGAAGTCTGATCGAAAAAGTACGAATTGTTTTGGATTCTACGCACCAAAATTAATAAGAAAAAGTGTTTTCCCGAGAAATTTTGGTGCAGTCAATTTTGGGTAAAAAAGGAAGGTTATACACTGCCTTTTTTTGCCCCGAAAAAAAAATTGTCTAAGATCGACCGGAAAACAATTGTGGCCTGTAGAATCCATAATTTCAAACAGTTCCAACTTCCAAGATCGGACTACTAGATCAAAAGTTACAGCCCTTTGAATTTTTTGTCGAAATTTGTTTTTTCCCCATAACTTTTGCAGCCTACATAAAGGAGAGATAACCATAGAATGGAATGAAACTCATACAATCCTGTTATTTAGAAAAGGCGACAAAAATGACTTTTAAGAATTATAGACCCATCTCACTGCTGTCGCAAACCTATTCATGAAAATCATTAACAACAGGCTAACATACAAAATATCGTATCAACCAGTGGAACAAGCAGGATTCCGGAAAGGATACAGCACCACTGATCACCGCTTAACGATGAGGACACTAATAGAGAAAGCTAACGGAATCGCATTTAGTATGCATCGATTATGAAAAAGCCTTCGATAGTGTCGAAATGTGGGCAATAGAAAAAGCTGTTAACAACTGTAGAATAGACTCCAGATACAGAATATTAATACACAACATTTATAAGAAAGCAACTATCACAATACAACTAGAAGACCTAGAACTAGAAAATCTATTCAAATTGAGAGAGGTTAACATTTAAATAATACACTGTTGCTTGATTAATAATAAATAGCCGTATTTACTTAGTCGTACTAATATAATAGGCACCTCATATCACTTTTTAAATATTTTTGGAAGTATTGGGAAAATTCCTACCTTTGCCCTACCAATGAATCAAAAGTACAATCATTCGCTGTGTGAAATCAACATAAATACGATCCGATGTTGCCATTTAGATATGTAAATTGCTTTGATAATATGCAATAAATAAATTTTTCTACGAAAGTGTAGAAACCTTAGACCATATGGTCTAAGGTAGAAACACGATTGTTTTTGTAGGTAAATTGATTGTGAAAACAGGTCTTTGAAACACTAGTGCGGCAAAAATATTTTCTGCACGCATTTTCTACACGCTAATAAACATATGCGAAGTAACTCTTTATAATTGTATTGCTTTATTCGCACAGTTTCGTTATATAAGACAGACAATGGTAGAATTTCCTTTGCCTTCTGCTACAGAAAACGTTCTTGGGACATGATTCTTGGAGTCAGGAATCGTTAAGTATCAATAAAATTGTATCTTGTTCTGTGAAATCCGTTACAGTCATTTTACAACGTTCGCTCCGACGGCAAGCTCCAGCTACTCCAAGGACGAGAGCAACCTGTAATTAAATTATGCTTATTTATGATTTAAAAATACAATAAGAAATTGACAAACCTTCATCATTACAAATGTTTCATCAGGCGCTTCTCCCAAAAACTTAGCGATTTGTTCTCTTATGAAAACGCTCCTTTCCGAAACGCTGCTTACACTTTTGGGGTAGCAATTCATGCGAAACCGCATTAGCCATTTCCGCAACTTCCGGCGGTGTGCACATACCTTCTTCATCTTCAGTTTCGTCAAAATCTATCTTAACACTTCTTCACTACGCCACAAATTGTTTGACTTAAATTTACGATTTTTCAAACAATTATGTTGTGTCAAGGCAACCGGCTTACTGGATCATTTACAATTGAAACATCCAACTACGATCAGACTATACGATTTTTTGTCGTTATTTGGCTAGTTGAAATTTCTAATTTCTAGAGAAGAATTTTTCACTTTCGTAGAAAAAATAGTATGAAACACGCATGCCGAAACGGTAATTGAAAAACTCGTATAATAGGAACACTCGCTGGCGCTCGTGTTCCTACATTTATACTCGTTTTTCAATAATACCGTTTCTGCACTTGTATTTCAATGTACTATTTCGTATTTGTAATTTTTTGACACTCATCTCCTCCTACACAATACAAGTCTAGCGAATTATGGCCCACCCTAAAACATATTGGTCCCCGGTTGGCTCTCCCATTGAAATATTTCTGGCGACGCCACTGTTGTTGGTCGTAGTCGCGACCAGTCGTCGTTTTGATTAGGTACTGGTTGGTTCAGGTGGCACTGTTTATAATTTAATCCTCCAAACTAATATTCACCATGTCAAAGTAAGGGAAGATTTATTCTCTACAACATGTCAAATTCAAAATACAACTTGTACTACTAAAAAACACGTACTAAATTTGGTGCCCTTAAAACCAGTTCACCAATATTCAAAAAAAAGCTCAATATTTGACGTTAAATATTTCAGCTGACAAAATTAATAAAAAATGCAATTATTTAACAGTCAAGGCTAAAATGATGATCTGCAACATTCCAACCCCCGTAAATCAATCACTGGGTTGATTTACTAATGACATCCAGAACTGCAAGCTTAGATGCAGGTCTCTGAAGAAGTCGATCATTTGTTCGTATTTCTGCTCTCCGTACTTGACCGTCTTTACCAGGAAAAACTTTCTCTACTATTCCCCGTATCCATTGTTTTCGATGAACATCGTCTTCACAAATGATTACTAGATCTCCTACTTTGATCGGCTCCTTCTTTTCAAACCACTTTGTTCTCCTGGTTAGTATAGGTAAATATTCTCTTATCCACCTACGCCAAAAATGATTTTTTAAAGCATTTGCCACTCTCCATTGCTTTCGAAACGTCCATAATTTTTCGTCTGGCGTATAAGGTGATTGTATAACATTTGTATCTCCAATTAAGAAAGAATTTGGTGTTAATGGATGTTCTTCTAATGCTGACACAGGTACATGAGTCAATGGTCTAGAGTTCACCATGTTTGCTGCTTCAAGCAAGTAACTGCGTAATGTTTCAACCCTCGGAGCTACTTCCTTTAACGAATGTTTGAGAACTCTTTTAATAGATCGCACTAGTCGCTCCCAACATCCACCCGCTGATGGATTGGAAGGACAATTAAACAGCCATTCTATTCCTTTCATTGTGGATTCCGATATTATGGCATCTTTATTATACAAATTTTCAACTGTCATCAACTCACCCTTCACTCCGAGGAAATTAGATCCGTTGTCTGATCGGATTCTAACTGGAACTCCTCTCAAATTCATAAAGTTTCGGAGGCATATGATACAAGAATCTGTCGATAAGTCTTGTGCAATTTCGAGATGTACTGCACGAATCGTCAAGCAAGTAAATAATGCCACCCACCTCTTTTCACGTCTTCTTCCAATTGTAACATGAACAGGTCCAAAATAATCTAGTCCGGTGTACGTAAACGGTCGAATGTTTGGAGTTAGGCGATCTAGTGGTAACTGTCCCATTTGTGGCACCTCTGGTTGAGCTGTTTCATTTTTACATTGCTGACATTGGCGTTTAGATGACCTTACTAAAACACGTAAATCGTTAATCCAAAATTTTCGCCGAATTTCACAAATGATCAATTCTTCGTTTTGGTGGTGACATAAACGATGATAATGACTGATGACAAGTTTTGTGACTGGATGTTGTTTTGGTAAAATTATAGGTCGCTTGGTCCTCATTGGTAGTGTAGGAGCGTTGTCAATTCGTCCATTTAATCTAATAATCCCATCTTCATCCAAGGCTGGTGTCAACTTATATATATCGCTTGATTTGCTGATAGGAACACGATTAGTCAGTGAATCGTATTCTTCGTGAAAAGTTTCCATCTGTACAGTTCGGAATATCAAAATTTCAGCCTGTCTTACTTCCTCAACTTTTAGTTCACCTGTATGCAAATTCATGTTGGAAGCTTTAGCTTTTAAATTCTTTACAAAACGTATCATCCAAGCAGCTGTACGTAAAATTTTGAAATAACTCGAGCTATTTGCAAAGTTAAATTGAATCATATTTTCACGAATCATCATAACTACATGTTTTGGTGGTTGTAGTTCTAGGTCTTCATCATTTACTACATGACAATCTGTTTGATGAGGCCATTTACTTTTGTCTTGCTTCAACCATTCTGGTCCGTTTATCCACCTTCGATTAGGTTTGAACTGAGGTGGATAAATGTCACGTGTCGCATCATCAGCAGCATTTTCATGTGTTGAAACCCAGTTCCATTGAGTGGGTTCTGTTGAATCCAAAATTTCACCCACTCTATTAGCAACGAATGTCTTGTATTTTCTTATGTCATCCTTGATCCAATGAAGTACAGTTTTCGAATCGCTCCAAAATGTCGATTTTGAAATAACAAAACTGTGAGATCTCAAAACAGTTTTATACATTCTAACTCCAAGAATTGCTGCCTGCAATTCGAGCCTTGGGATGGAAAGGTATTTGACAAGTGCGCATTTAGTTTTCCCCATGACGAATGATACTGTAACTTCATTTTGCGAAGTAACTCGAAGGTAGCACACTGCTGAAAAAGCGACTTCACTCGCGTCTACAAATATGTGAAGTTCAACAGCTTTTGGCATCCGCAGTCCCTTTGAGTAACAACGTGTAATACGAAAGTGACTAACCTTTGTTAATTCTCGACTCCATGCACACCATCGCTCGTAAAGATGTGTAGGTATTGGTTGATCCCATTCTACACCAGACCTCCATACAAGTTGCAAGAGTACCTTCATGTATACAAGAAAATCCGCTAAGAATCCGAACGGATCATATACTGACATGACAATCGCTAAAAATTCTCTCTTTGTTGGAATTCTTTCACAAGTGATTACTGTCGATTCTAAACGATTAAACTTCAAGTTGAATTTGAACTCGTCAGTGGATGTGTCCCATACCATGCCCAGTATCTTATCACATGTAGAGGATTTGTCCAAGTTCATATCCACTTGATATAGTTGATCACCTTGTTCCTGATTCAAGATCGAAGTAACCTTTCTTGAATTTGATATAAAACCTCGTAATTCAAAACCACCAGCCATCTCAATATTTTTAACCATCATGGATACAGTTATTGCCTGTTCATCGGTGTGAAAGCTATTAACGTAATCGTCAACGTAATGTCGTTCAATAATTGCTTTGGCCGCTTCGTGATGACTTTCTAGATACTGTGTTGCATGAAAGTTTTTGACATATTGAGCTGTTGTCGGTGAAGATGTGGATCCAAATATCATAACTAACATCTTATATACCTCAATTTCGCCAGTTTTATCATTTCTCCATAAAAATCGTTGAGAGTTTTGGTCTTCTTCACGAATTATCACCTGGTGAAACATCTCCTTGATGTCAGCACATACCCCAACTTGACCTTCACGAAATTTAGATAAAACTGTGAGAAGTGGCTGATTTAGATCTGGACCTGTCAACAATGATGAATTAAGGGATGTTTCTCCAACTTTAGCCGCGGCATCAAATACAAGTCTGAATTTTCCAGGCTTATTTGGATTCAGTACACCGAAATGTGGTAAATACCAAGTCCGTGGAGAAATTTCAACAACCTCTTCAGATGACAATTTACGAGCATATCCTTTCTGCACGTAGCTGACAATAGTTTCCTTGTACTTCATACCGTAAACAGGTTCTTTTTTCATCTTGTTTTCAACATTTCTCAATCGACTGATTGCCATTGGGTAACTATCTGGTAAAACTATGTCATCGTTTTTCCATAATAGACCACTTTCGTAACGACCTTTGACCTTTTTTGTTGTTGATTCCAACAGTTGACGCGCTCGAACCGTTTCAGAAGACTCTCTTGGTGTTGTTGATAGTTCAACACCAAAGTTTTCAGTGGTAAAATAGTCTTTTACAATAGAATGGATGTCGTCAAAGTACCCTCTCACATGAAACATTCTTTCTGGACTTGATTGTATCTCATTGTCAACTGTTCTTCCATAAACTATCCAACCAAGAGGACTTTCTGCAACAATAGGTCCATTTGATGTTTGTTGAATCTTTCTGTTCGATAATCCCAAATGACAAAAGTCCAATCCTATTAATAGCTCTGGTCGGGCGTCAGTATAGCTGGCAATAGGAAGATTTTGTAAGTAGTCATATTTGGAATGAAGTTGATTCATGTCTACAGTTTGCATTGGAAGACAAAGATTGTTTACGGTACACACATTCCTCATCTCAAACACTTCGGCATTGTTATGGATTCCAGATATGTTAAATTTAACGATTTCAGTTTCTTCAGAACTACAGTGGTCTCCGAACCATTGGAGATTCAACTTTCGCATAGGTCCCTTCAACTTCAAACGTACAGCTACGGTTCTCTTGATCAGACTTACGCTTGATCCCTCATCAATCAATGCATACGTGGAAACAACTTCTCCTCTATTGTATAATTTTACTGGAACTACTTTAAACAACACCTTGGATTCATTTGCTTTCAACGCAGCATGACAGGATACTTCCATATTTAAAACCGTTGGCGTAGATTTATTATCTTGACATTCACTGTGTAATTGAGGATGATGAACTCTGTTACATCCATTCTTATTGCAAGACTTTCTAATGCGGCACATTCTAGTAGAATGTCCAAATTTCAAACAAGAAAAACACAATTTCTTTTCTGTTACTAACTTCCATTTATCATCTGTAGATTTATTCAAAAAATCCGGGCAGTTAGCGATGAAATGGTTCTTTTCGCATAAGACACAGTTCATTTCTTTCTTACTTGTAACGTTGGAAGTGTGAAGCATTTGATATTTCTTGGGTGTCGTCTTTTTCTCTGTCGGAGAAATCAAAGAATTGCACACAGGAACTCTGGCTATGTTGTCGGCTTTAACTTCAATCCAGTTACTAAAATCTAATATAGACGGGACACCAGTCAGTGAACTAATATGAGAGGCCCATGCAATTCTCATATTCATTGGGAGCTTTAAGATCAACTCATTAAGCAGTGTGGGATTGGCAAGCTGATGTTGACTAGAACAAGTTAACATAAAGTGACTAAAGTTGATCACTTTGTCAGCAAAAGGAATAATCTGTCCCACATTATTTTCACAGATTCCGGGAATGTTCTTCAACATAGTAATTTGTGCGTCCACTAAAAGTTCTGGTCGACCAAACCTGCTATACAATCTCTCCATGATCTTCTCCGCCATGTCGTCGTGAATTAATAACCACTGAACAAGCTCACGAGCTTTCCCTTGCAAACTACTGTTTAGTCTCGTTGTATTTTCTGAAGAAGTATATGCAAACTCTGTCGTAGTTCTTTTATACTCTGCATTGAAAACCAGCCAGTCGCAAGGATTTCCATCAAACTTTGGCAATGCTACTAAATACTTTCTGACAGGTAACGATGGATGCTGTTGCCAATATACAGGGTTATTTGGGTAAACAGAAAAACTAGGAATTGAACATGAAAGTGTTGACTGTTGGTGCGTAGAATTTCTTGTCGGAGTTATCGAAGGCGAAGGCGTATCAAGCTGTGCAGGTAATGTTACTGGGACTGTATTATTCAGTATAGCTGATGATCGAGTTGTAGGAGGGACTTCAATTTTCATCGTTCGCTGAACTTCAGCTAGTTGTCGATTTGTAGCTTCCAGCTTCTGATGAAGTTCATTATTCTTCTCTTCCATCCTTGTCTGTACCTCTGTATTTTGCATCAGCTGTGCTTGCATCAATGTAATCTGATTCGTAAGTCCTTCCAAAAGTGATGTAACCCTAGAATCTTCCATTTTGATTGTTACATCCAAGTCTTTGTCGTCGTTTGAATCGTCAGATAAACTTCCAGTAACAAATTCCTCGAGGTAAGGTGGTGGACGCCCATTATTCAACCGCTCACTCTTCTTTGGCATAAATGACTATTAGAATGTCAAATTTAAGAATAAAAATGTTGTTGGTCGTAGTCGCGACCAGTCGTCGTTTTGATTAGGTACTGGTTGGTTCAGGTGGCACTGTTTATAATTTAATCCTCCAAACTAATATTCACCATGTCAAAGTAAGGGAAGATTTATTCTCTACAACATGTCAAATTCAAAATACAACTTGTACTACTAAAAAACACGTACTAAATTTGGTGCCCTTAAAACCAGTTCACCAATATTCAAAAAAAAGCTCAATATTTGACGTTAAATATTTCAGCTGACAAAATTAATAAAAAATGCAATTATTTAACAGTCAAGGCTAAAATGATGATCTGCAACAGCCACTGCCGATACAAATCAAGGTTTCCATACCTCTAGAGCATCTTCACCAATACTATGCAGAAGTACCGCTACTTGTACTGCTGGTAGTTTCCCCGAACTCGAAATTAGTGCCAAATCTCCTTCCATTACCATCGCTTTAGGTTATTTTAAGAATTCCATCTTGTATTCGATTATCCTTCTTTAGCCTCTTCTTCAATATGGAGATAATATAAGGATTGCAAATATAATTAAAGTAGTACAATTTTCAAATCGTGTCAAATTTTTCTAATATAACAGCGTTACTTATTAGTTACCATTTGCATAGTTACCAAATACTCATTTCTTTCAGATTTGGACCTTTAATACTGAAATTGCTGTAACTTTGGACTTACAGGAGTACAAAAAATAGGGTACATACCACAGGACTAGACCGCTTGCTACCCTCAACTACGTTTCGGACAACAATCTGCACCCTCGGGATTAAAACACACATTTTAGTCCCTTGCTACGTACTATTATAACCGCCTACACTGCAGAATACTATTATTTTTGTACTTACCCAATTCAGTAAACCACAATTATTTAAAGCAATTGTCGAGGCGCCGAAAATTTACATTTAATGATGTAACTAATGTAATGGCTTTGTTGAATTAGTGAGTTAAGTATTCAACTTACATTTTGCATTGCCAAATTACTTCAAATTATCCAAAATGCTTTTAGAATTTAGTACTTATGCAAAAATGAAAACTAATTAATTGTCTTCCAGAAGTGCGCAAACAAAAAAAAGAACAAAAAGGGCCGAAAACTTTATGTTTGAATTATTCAATACAAAAACGTGGTTATCATAAAAAAAAGTAGCTTTTCGCAGTTCGAATACTTTTACCAAGAGACATAAACCACAGAAACCATTTAAAAAATTTCATAACACTTCCAAATTAAAATTAGCGATGGTCATTTTACCGATCCCTTTAAAGTACCTTCACCCGTGTCATTTAAGAAATTAGGTATAGGACCCTATCGCTGTCGGCAAATCTACAAATTTAACCGAATCCTTTTATTTTTACCGTATAGCTCGAAGGCTGCAGTCGTTGCCATTCTCTTCGGCGTAAATCTCCGAAATTATTAATTTCCCTTTTTCGCTTTTGTCATCTATAATTGTCTGATACTTTGAACACATTTTCGTGATAAATGTACGTCATGAATGAACGAATGATGTAATTTGCATACGAGAAGCTGTCAACAGCAAAGGAAGACCCACGAAGATAAAATCTACAAGAATCGAATTTATAGCCATTGTGCGTGGGCAGGTGGACTAAACTAACTAGTATTAACCACTTTTTGTAACACTATCATCTATTTATTACAAATCTATGAAATTTATGTGCAATGGCAAACGGACCGTTCGTCTAGAGAGACGGAAGTGCATTTTTCACATAGATGAATAATCTAGTTTTCCTATGGTTAAATTTGCCGGTCATTGAAAATAATGCCACTTCAGCAATGTGCATACCAGCACCTGTTTATGTCAAAGAAGAAATGCTATCAATAAGGAAGTTCACGAATTTAAATAAAGGCATAAATATTTCAAAATGCAAAAAAACTACAAATAGAGATCCTAATCGTTTTGCATTATCATAAAAGTACCTTTATTTAATTTTAATCTATCCTTTCGGCTTGCCCGGTAAAGCGCTCTACGGGGGTGGCCGAATAATTAACCGTAAAATTGCCTCAATTAACACCAATTATTTTGGTTTTATGTGCTTTACAGGTTGTTTACATTTGTAATTCAAATTTGGATTTTAGGTAAAATGGTCCAGGTATCCAAAACATCCGCTGTCCTTTTACATACTCGTTTAACAAATCGCCTTTTTTACGACGCGAAGAAGTGGGTTAAAGGAGTGAAATTCGAGATGAACATCGAGGTAGGTGGGACCCAGTTCGTGTTACCTTTACCACTATTTTATCAATCATTGTTCAATGCACAATGTGCAAATTGTAAACTGTTTTCGACATTGAAGTACTGTAAACGGCAGCTTCTGCAGGCGGGACCGAAAAATTACTGTTTACAAAAAGGAGTAGATCTTAGATTTGAGCTCAATCAAAATTAATAACGAAAGCTATAATTCGAATAGATCTTTGGCTTACAACTAAGGTGCTATTGGGGTTATCCAACAAGCGGTAACGGCGCCTCTCGCAGCGCCGATTGCAGATAATGGTTCAATAACTAATCCCTCATATTATATCGCTTCAGACCTATACTTACATTTAGCTAATTGGGGTTAGCCCAAAAACCAATTATAATTTTTAAAGTAAACATTGTTATAGCATCCGCTCTACTAAAGAGGTACAAACCGTGTTTTATGTATCATAAATTTTTGGAAATCAACGACTTAACATTAACTGTAGATTACTCCACAGCGTTACCCAACATTCGAACAACGTACAGCATATAATTTTTCGAAACATCTATCCACCCCATCAAACCACTTAAAATCGACTTTTTCGGTGTACAACTTGGATATAATTTAAAAATGTTCAAACGCATTAATTAGAGAAATTTGCCGTTTTTAAAGTCTATGGTTTCAACTTTCAGTTTAACTTTATGAGCCATGATTGAGTTGGTTTAAATATCCTCATCCCTGATGACTTTATTGGAACTTCGGCTCGTATTAACAGAAAATTTTAGATTAGATCAACAAGTTTCGGAAGCGATTATTGGGGCACTATTATAAAAGAGTGCTCAGATTCTGTATTAAAAAAATCATATACCATAAGGTTTATCCTTAATTGGATTATGTAGTAGACTACGACAACAGCACCACATGTTTACTATATTCACAGCGTCTTATTACTTTATTATTTAGTGGTATATTAATACAGGTGTATTAATAAATAATGATTACTAACCAAATAATCTCAATATTATTGTTGCTATTAAATAAATAAACAATTTAAATAATTACAATTGTGTTAACAGTCCATTTTCCTTCTTTATATTATTACTAACATTTTTTTCAAGTTTTGGTACTATCAACAACCATATAGTTTAGCCAAATGGAATGCTATTCATCAGAATCCTTTTTATTTAAATATTATTTGTAAATTGTATCCAAATTTCCCTTTCTTTTCCTCTTCTATAGGTTTTTTCGTTTTCCACTTATTATCTATCTTTTTTGTCCATTATTTACCATTTCGTGTAATGTCTCAGTGTCTCAGAGCTAGACTTCTCCTTATAGCGATGTATTTTACCCGAGGGTTTAAGGGTAAACCACTGAGCAAAAATGTGTATCTACACCAGAATTCCAGAAATCCCAGCAATTTTCATCATACTGCGAAAAGACGTCCAAAACGGCAAAATAATTCCATTCAATTCTAAAAAATTCCATTGGTTTCCAAAGAATTCCGTTGAATTCCAGTAGCTTCCAAAAGTAATTCCAATGAACTGGATGAGCGGTGTGTTGACTTTAAGGAGACATGAAAAATGGACAAATGCATAGGAGAAGGGCTAAAAAGTAGCACACGAGAGTGGGTTGGGAGAAAAAAGTATTGTTTGACGTACTCTCCCAATGGATCAACGCACTTGAGCCATGTAGTCATACTTTCATGACCAATCGGTACATGCGAACACCCAGTATCTGGTGGCGCAAAGGTCGTGCCGAAAGTATTTTTGTTGGTTCTAGGAGTTGAAGATAGAAGGTAAAGGTAATTGATTTATTTTCTAGAGTTGTGTGTCACCCGCCTTTGCCGTAAACAAAACCTGTAATTCATTCAACGTTTGCAATCGTTCCCGTCAAGATATTTCAAATATCTTTGTTGCGTCCGAAAGCTCTTGCCATTTAGAAGACGAGGAAAAACTAATATTTTAGAATTTCAGTTCCGTTAAATCATTATTAGCAGGTTTTAGTTTCCTATGTTAATTTAAAACGAGCATGACCATGCAGATTTACGCCGGTATCAGTTTGATAAAAGACCTTTTGCGGACCTGAGAAATTCCAGGAGACAATAGGTGTTAATTAGAATTATGAATTTAGAAATATTATCCAGCAAATTAAGTAAGTGTAATTAGGGGTATCTAATTAAATGAGGTACTGTAAACAGCATCCGAATAATTCGTGAAGGGTTTCAAATGAAGCCCTCTTAATTAATTTAAATTTTAAGATCAATTACAGATTTTTATCACGTCCACAGGCCGCACAATTAATTAAAGAAACACCGATAATTAATTTGTGATTTGTTGCTTTCATTCCCGCTGTGAAACTTGCCGTTTTGTGTCAGCCAAACTTCCTGAAGCTACCGTTTACTCTGATTGAGTGTGCCCGAGACTTCCGTGTACGTTCCGAAAACTTCTACTACCACCGACCTTGAGTATGGGCAAGACCTTACTCCTTAGAGGCACTCGCATCCGATTATTTAAATTTTCTTGCTCTTTGTGCGCGGAATTACTACCGTAGCTCGTTGCAGAACTCTCACGCCAAATCAAACGAGTAATATAAGCGGGATGTGCGATATCAATTGAAATCGCAAATCGACCTATTTCTGGAGCATTACATTTATTTTTTTATGTACCCGCTAGTTAAGCGTCACCGCAATATCTAATATTGAAACGCATAAGGATCTACGACATTCCATTAAGTACGGAAATCTCGATCGACTTATAAAAGACGCCGGAACAAACGAATGGTCGGCCAGACGACAGTTGATGAAAGTATTATCTTCCTTTTGAAAACCAAGTAAAACCCTAAAGTTCTACAATATTCCGTTGTCGAGATACTGGTCCATATATAAAAGGCGATCTTTTAATGAAATTCATAAATTATAAACTTCAAGAATTTTTTCAGCTTTTAGACTAAACGATGCAGGAATAACACGATAGTACTAATATATTGCCGAAAACCCGAAAATTCTACGATATTACATTGCAGAGATCTCCATCGATTTATAAACGGCGCCCGAACAGCTGACAGTTAGTGAAACAAAAAGCTTTTCTTTTTGGGAGTCAAAAATGCGATAGAAACAAATCACGGTTAAGTGAACAATAAAAATCTTATCTATGAATGTGCAAAATTTGAAAGTATGTACTAGGACTCGATTTTTCCACCTCCCAATAACTTTATTTTCCGAAGAAATTCCATGGATACCACTGTTTTGAATTTTGGTGCAATTTTTCATTATGATTGTCTTTTAATCACATATGCCTTGATAACTTGTGTGGCAATTGTCTAGTCCAGGAATATAAAAACGAATCCCTCGTAATTTATACAAATAATTCGGCTTTCTAAGACGTTTCAATTCTGAAATTTCGTTCCTCGCATATATGTTAAAATAGGTATCCATCAATATTTCCGCCTCTGAGAAATTTTTCTTAATACTGCAAAACAGAAAAATGAAATGTTTACCGACTAATTGAGGAGAATTGTTTTCCGCCTTTGTTCCAATGTAATGCACCTCTGTGTCCATATAGTAAAATGAAAAGCGAACTCCGTTGACAATTTTAAAAACTGTAAAACAATCGCCGTTGTTTTACCCTATTGTGTGTTCAACATTTTCTGTTTGCCCAAATACAAAGGAGCGTGTGTGTAATGAATAAGTCCGATTATAGGGACGTTTACCCAATGAGGGTTGGATTTCAATTGATTCAATTAGGTACATGTTTACGTATATAGTTAGCAAACAACGATAGTATAGCCACCCTTCTTGTTTGCTTGCGAATGCATATTTTTATAATACCGCCGTACTTTTTTTGATAAACCTTTAAAATTAATTTAAGGTTTCGTTTCTCAGTCTATTGAGAAAAAATGTGAATATTCAAGTGTTTTCGTATAAAGTACAGGATGAGAATGGGGTGGTTAAAAGTAAAATTCTCAACACTAAACAATTCGTTTGAAATTATAATAATTATGCAGCACACAATATTCCATGGAAAAATGGTGGGTACAATATATCGAACACAATGAAGGAACGCGGTCGGTTGTAATGACGGGGAGATCCATACAAAGCTTTGCCAGAGCTTTGAATGGTCCTAATGATCACCTTCGCGACTTCTACCGTTCTTGACTTCTTTACGCCAATATAAACAGTTATTCTTTATGTAATCGAAATACAATTTTCCACGGAGCAAAAAAAAATGATTTATAGACTGGTAGCGTTTTTTGTTTGTTTATGCGGTTAGATTAACTTTCGGTTTCATTCTTTATCTGTGCTTTTATCGGCCCACAATATATTATCATACGCGATGTAGTGAATATTAACGCGTATCCTGCTAACGATACATCTCTATTAAGTTATCGACTTTTAGCTCGGGGCTTGAATTCGAACGTAAAGAAGTCAGGTTTTATATCAATTTAATTATTATGTTCTAAACGGCGGCAAACCGAAGAACAATAATTATAATTCACGGGCTGTGTCTTTGCCGACAGGTTAAAGCTATTGTCAGCACCGTTGCGTAACATGTGTTCCCTTAAAAACATTCCTCCGAGACCACGAAATTGTCTAATTGAAATTTCTTTCATTTTATTTTTACCCAGTTAATTTATAAATAATTATATCGCATGTACTGGTTTTTATGTGGCGATCCATAAAAAGAAGACATAAGTGAGATGAGGATAATTGGACAGAACATCTTTACATTAATAAAAAGCTATGAATGGGTTGAAAGTGAATATATAATTTATGTAAATGTGCCAGTGATGTATGAATTCAAAGTTATCCATTGTGATATGGCATTTCTTTTAGCAAAATTAAATTGGTATGTATGCGTACCTACTTCCTATAACTTTTTTGATACATTAGAATTTGTGAAAGTATAGTAAGGAATTTTTCATAAATTTTTGTAAAGTTGCACATTTTGCCCATTACTATAATCGATTCGCTGAACAGAAACACTGAAACCATTAAATTTTGTCCAATATAAGCGTCAGTCAGTTTTAAACCCACAAAACGATCAAAAGCGGGAAATTAAGAAAAGTTCATAGGAATACAAGAAGTCGTGATAAATTTTCAGTCTCATTAGTGTCATGTATTTAGCATTGGTTATTCATCACACCCTAGAAACTCATTTAGTTTATTATTTACACCAAACATAACATCTGAAACATCATTTAAAGCAAGTACAATTATATCAGTACAGTACACAGTACAGTACAGCCACAGACTTTAAGATCACCCACATTTACAATCTATTACCACCCTTTTCTTTAAAACATACACGCCACTGCACATAACATAACCACACTTATATTAATATACATTTGATTCATCCCATTTTTACAGTAAGTTATTTTTAATTAGGTACATAATTGGTTTTATATAAATAAAAAATTTTCAATTATACTATACTAAACATACATTTCAGCCAAGACATCTACATTCACTTCATGTTTTATAATAAAAAAATTTTCTTCATTTATGTCTTATGACGGTAAGCAAATTTGTTATTACTTATTTATTATATGTCACGGTATATATTTTATAGCAAGGCCTGATGATGGCAAATAATATCCGAAATCAATAACCAAAAGAAACTTTAATACAAACGTTATTACCACTCGTTTTATTTTGTAAATCAGTACAGTAGCGCAAATTTTGAAAATTGCATGTGTATGTATAGTATAATATAAAGAAAGATTCATCACAATTTCAAGATTACACGGCGTTAATCAGAATTCTGATTCTGTGGAGCACGAGTCATCTCCCACATTGATTATCAAGGCTCCACAATGATGTCCATTACGATATCAATTTATCACATTTTTTTCTTTCTTCGCTTTGGGCATGCCGAATTGCGTACGTCCAATTTTCTACGGTAACATTCTCTACAACTTGCTGAAATAATGAACGCAGGCCTCATTTTAAATGTGGTGTTGTTCCTCGCAACTTCACTTTTAATTTGCCTCCATATAAATTCAATTGGATTCAATTCCCAAATTTTGTCAACAACGTACTTAGCTTGCTTGACAAGCTGCAGGACTCTTACCATGTCCTCTTCGTAAACTGTCGATTCACTTGTCAATCAAGCTTATATATCGGCTTTCTTCGTGCCTGTGTTTGGTATTTGTTCACTTTCTTCTTTGATCTTTCTTCGTGATAGTCTCCCTTTTTCTTTGATTCAAAGAACAACAAACCTCCCTCGACAAAACCATCCTCAGAACCTTTGTGCGGGATTATAAGTCGACTTCCCTTACCCGATGGATCTTTTAATCTCGATGTTAATCCTTCGATGAATGCTTGTCTTGGGTTGCGAATTGTGACGTCCTTCCATACTTTGGTTACAGTATGACCAGCATTGACTCAAGTTTCATCTAGAAAATTCAACTTCCTCTCTTCTTCCCGGTATTTTATATTTTTTCCCTAAGAACACTATTGCGCGACCCAATGAATCTCGTACCTTAATTGGAATTATTTGGTCGATGTGTCTTCTAAATTTATCGTTATCTCTTGACGCAATATCAAACATTGCAGCACCCTTTTGTGTTTCAATTGTGCCTTCCTTCCAAGACGGTTTTGCCGGATTAGCAAAGTCTCTAAATAACACAGTATCACCTAATTCTACAAATTTCTCTTTACCTCCATTGTTACGGATTTGGCGTTCTTGATTTTGTTGAACGATATTTGCTGTACAAGGTCTTATCAAATCTAATCGATTACGTAAGCGGCGGCCAAACATTAATTCCGCTGGCGATTTATTAGTAGTGGAATGTTGGGCATTCCGGTAATCGAATAGAAATTTTTGTAAATCCTGACTTGATTTTTTTAAGTACTGTTTAACCATTTTTACTGCGATTTCTGCTTGGCCGTTGCTACACGCCCACGGATGGTAAGGTGGGCTTAAAATGTGTAAAACTCCGTTACAACGAAAATAATTTTCAATTTCATGAGAAGAGAAGTAAATGGAGGTCCCCCGTCGGTTACAACTACCTTCGGAAGTTCAAATCGAGCAAATAAAGGCCTAAGTGCCTCGATAATTTTTTCCGCCGTAGTTACATTCATCTGAATTACCTCGAGCCACTTAGTGTGGGCGTCAATGATAACTAAATACTTAGGATCTCTAAATGGTCCCAAAAAATCAATATGGACACGTTCCCATGGATTCTGTGGCCATTCCCAGACATGCAATTTAGTTCTTTGAGGTAAGGGGCGAACAGAATTACATGGCTCGCAAATTTTGCATACATTTTCAATGTCCAAATCTACTGTGGGCCACCAAACATAGGAACGTGCTAGCGATTTGCACTTATTAATTCCAAAGTGACTGCTATGCAATTCTTTTAATATCTGCGGTTGCAAAATTTTGGGAATGATAATGCGGTAACCCCATAACAAACAACCATGATCGTTATGTATCTCCGCTCTGCGAGTAAAATATGGTTTTATCTCTTCGGAATCAATAACTTGTGGCCAGCCAAACATCGTAAACCCTAAAATCTGATTTAACAATAAATCCTTACGAGTTTCCTTAGCGATTAATTGATAAAATCGGGAATACCCTCTTCTACATAAAATATTTGACCTAAATCAGGCTTATCATTAGGCGTCTGGCCTTCAGGTAAGCGTGTTAAAGCGTCGGCAATGGCATTATTTTTCGAATGGACGAACTCAATGTTAAAATCGTAAGCTGATAGCATTATCGCCCAACGCTGCAAACGGCTTGCTGCCATTTGGGGTATCCCCTTCTTTGTTCCAAAAATCGACACTAATGGTCTGTGATCAGTAATTATGGTAACTTTCTGCCCAAAAAGGTACTGATGAAATTTTTTTATTCCAAAAATAATGCCTACAGCCTCTTTATCTATTTGACTGTTATTACACTCGTTACGCGATAATGTTCGTGAAGCAAAAGCGATTGGCCTGACGTCCCCATTTGGAAATGTGTGGGAAATTACTGCACCAATTCCTGTAGAACATACTGGCATCGCACGATAACGTTATCGGTAACTGGTGGATTGAAATGCGTTAACACCTTTGTTGACCCTAAAACACGTTTTATAATTTCGAAAGAGTTATCGCACTCGTCACTCCAGTTCCACGGCGAGTCTGAATCGCGCGGATCTTCTCTTTCGAAACGCGTAGGTAATCCTTCAGCATCCACGATATGTCCCAAATAACTTACGCTATTTTCGAAAAAATCACACCTATTTGCTTTAATCTTAAGACCCAACGAGTTCAATTTACCCAACACTACCCGAAGTCTCGAAAAATGTTCGTTATCTGAAGGTCCCGTAATGAGTATATCGTCTAGAAAAACGCACACTCCTTCGATACCGTTAAAGATATTTTCCATAATATTTTGGAAAATGCTTGGAGCCGAAGCAATGCCATATGGCATTCGATTATATTCAAATAATCCGCGATGGGTATTAATAGTGCAACATTTTTTTGATTCATCATCCAGCTGAACTTGTGCGTACGCTTGCGACAAGTCCACTTTGCTAAATTTTTTACCGCCCGATAATTTTGAAAACAGCTCCTCTATCTTTAGTAACGGATATTGGTTAATTTTTAGGTTCGGATTAACCGTTGTTTTAAAATCACCAAATAACCGAATTGATCTCGGAATTGATCCGTCTTTTTTTTTACCGGAACGATCGGAGTCGCCCAGTCGGAGTATGCAACCGGCGTCAAAATTCCTTCACTCACTAATCTGTCCAATTCGGCATTTACCTTCTCCTTTAATGCGAAAGGCAAAGGTCGAGATTTGCGAAAAACGGGAACCGTATTTTCTTTTAAAAGCAACTTTGCTTTTAAGTGTTTTAAGGTACCCAAGCCTTCCGCAAAAACATTTGGAAATTCTTGAACTAATTTATTACGTATGTCAATTGCGGTTATCGCGTTGATACTCGAGCACAATATTGGGATTTCCAATTCCCTACACCACGACCGGCCTAACAGAGGAGGTCCTCCATTATCAACCACGTATAATTTTAACATTTTAGAAATACCGTTATACGAAGCATTTACTTTGATGTAACCATTAGGTATTATGAAATCACCGGTGTATGCTTTTAATTTTAGCTGGGTATTTTGTACTTTCTTATTGGGGAATAATTCCTTGAGTACTACCGAATTAATTACTGATATCGCCGAGCCAGTATCGACCTCCATTTTTAAATTAACATTATCAATTTTGACATTCAGGGTAATTGGTTTATCGCTATTTTTACTATTAAAAATTAAATTAAAAAAAGTTTGGTCGTCAGATTCATACTCGGACGATTCCACATCAACAAAATGGCTACGTTCAGTAATCGGACCCGTTTTATTTTTATTTCGTGGACACACGTACCTCAGATGGCCCCGTTTTTTACATTTAGAACACACCGAGTTGCGGTGAAAACATTGCACACTAGAATGATTACGGCGTCCACAGTGTTCGCAGGGGGTGCGATCTTCCTGTTTACTAGTAGACGCGCTTGGACCTCTGGGTACTCGATTCGTTGACGGTGAGCTATGACGTTTACTAGGTTTATGACGACTTCGTAGTTGATGGACTGACTGCACCTCACTTTCGCGGGATTCCACCAGCGTTGCGTCTTTGGCGGCAGTTTCAATATTAATTGCGATTCCGTAAGCTTTTTGGAAAGTCGAAGTAGTCGCCTTCTCGGTAAATAACCTTTGGATTATTACTCCGTTGCGTAGTCCAAACACTAGCTGATCCCGCATATTCTCGTCCAATTTGGAACCGAAATCACAAGTGCCTGCTAGCTTCTTCAGATGAACGACATACTCGGATATAGACTCTCCCGCTGTTTGCTTCCGCTGTCTGAATTTGTAGCGTTCCGCGATGACAGACGGTTAGGGATTTAAATGATTTTTCACTATTTTAACTAACTGGTCAAAATTTTTATCCTCGGGTTTGTTTGGGTCACACAAATCGACCATAAGCTCATATGTTTTATCACCCACGACCGACAATAACCCTGTTACTTCCCGCTGGTGCATTAGCGATAAAAAATTGGTTAACTCGCGCTACGTATGTTGGCCAATTTTTCCCTATCGGGTCGAATTCCGGTATCCTACCGATTGACATCATTAATTCTCAATCCTCGTCGCCACTTGTAACGAACGGCAAGAAGGTACGAATACGACTATTTATTTATCGGTTATCAAATAACGGGTGATCAAAAATGAGTTGCTGTCGAGTCGCCTTTGGAAGTTCAAGTTAAATACGATTTCCCATGTAAACAAAAGTTCCAAAGGTGACTCGACAGCAACTTATTTTTGATCGCACAGTACATGCATGGTACAAACTAGATAGCCTTGACCAATACCTATTCCTAACAGATGACTGGAGTCATTATAGACATTTAGCAATGTGACAGGTGCGGCAGGAAAAGTAGACTGGTCTGCCTTCGTCATGGAAGCTAACATTTTCCTAACAGAAAGTAGGCATGAAAATTAAGGTTTCATGACGATTTTGGGTAAACCAACTTGCTTTGTCAATGCCCGTAATGTTGTCCAAAATTGCACTCGGTCTGTGATATACTTCAGGTGCGTGAAGTTTGTGGGTCGTTTTATATTCTCGAATAATCTTTTAAACACTCGCGATACTAATGTACTAACTAAATAACTAAATGTAAATAATAATTTCCTTAGGTTTTTCCAAAAATTTACAAAAAAAGAGAAGAAAACAAAACATTTGTATTGTACACTTAATGAAATAAGGATTCATGCTCAGACAACTGACTTAAAGCCAGAATACTGTTCTTAAATAAATCTTTATGTCTACAAAAACTAAAAATACCTGCTGCATTTGGGGTAAACTGTAGGTTTTTTGTTGTCGAGTTTTCTGGGTTATCTTGAGAATAAAAGCTTTGAAGATATTAAAAATGCTCGTTTCTTCAATCGAGAAATGCTTTGAAAATCTTTTTTTCGGTGGAGAAAAAGCATTCTGCAGCCCCTGCTACATCCATCCTCGCACAGATGAATTTTTACAAATACTATTTTTTTCGTATAAATGAGATCAACGGCAATTTAAGCAAGTAAACGACTATGTAACCAGAAAAACGGAATGACAATTTTTTGACAAGATGACATTTTCGCTTTTACGTAGGTTGTGTCAGTATTTACTACCCTATCACCGTAGGTTCCGTACGGAGTTATTTCGGAAAATGAGAGCCATTTAAAAATAATTTGAGAGCTTAGATCAAAGAAAAGCACTAAATAAAGAACCATAAAATATCTATAAATTTCAAGATGTAACAACCAACTAGAGGGATTACTCTGTGGCTTTCAATTGTAATTCAAACATATACTACAAAAGCGCACCGCACGTGTAAGACACGTGACTTTGTAAGCATTGCGTATTGCAAATATGAGATTGATTACATTCTAAAAATCTTTTGTGTAACGTAATGTACACATATCACTCCAAAATAAAGCAAAGTGGTTGGTTACATTGTGCTTATTTTAGAAGCGTGCAGTTAGTTAATTGCGTGGGAGAGCAATTACCGAACTTAACGCAAAATCCTTCCTTTAATTTCTGTTATTTTCACCGTCACCGAGGGCGATCGCGTGCACCGTCCGAATTATATGGTCAATCCGTGGATTCGTGTGCCTTACCATAAAAAAAGATTTTTATAGTAACCTCGTAGAGCTTTTATTTCCCTCTACAGATAATCGTCGAATGTCATCGCGTAACTACTTAAAAATTCACACTTCATTTTAACGATGGTAGGCCACCCCTAATATTAAAAGTTGCTCGATACCCCTGGTTACGTTTAAAATAGTTCTTGAATAGTAAACAGATGCAAATCGCCCTAACGCACTAATAAGGAACCGTTCGTGAGCTTTCGGCTGAAGCCAAATTTGACCACTACGACCACGTAAACGATTATTTCAAGAAAATTTGTCTGATTAATCGTATCATAGACACGATATCGAAACCTGCACGCACGAGTAGCCTTTCCAAGTGTGTTATTAGATATTATTATGGTATAATTTCGCTATGCATATTACGTATACTAATGTTTGGCACGATATACGCTACTTCGTGTGTAGTGAAAAACTGATTTCATTCATCCCGCCAATCTTCTTACCCAAAGTTACCTACAATGACGAGGTTTATCTATTGCTTTCGTAATACCATTGTTCCTACTAATAAATTAAAAGGGGCAAATGCACCTGTTAACCGACAAATTGATGGAATAACCGTCTTTCAGTGAGAGCTAGGCGTCTTTTATGAACAATACATACTTACACTAAATATAGTGGACACCACTATCGCGTCAATCAGAATTAGAGATGGAAATCGTTCGAAGAGATATCTACTCTTGATCCAATAAAGCCTTCAAAAGCTACTGGCATATAATTCTTGGAGTCCACAGTGAACGACACTCCTCTTCTAGTTTTTCAATCTACAGGGTGTAGCACCTAAGACCCATCAGAGCATAATTCCTTTACCATAAAAGATAACGAAAAAAGCCTTAGAGCCAAATTGTACACATTTACCGTCGCCATATTTCTAAAATAGTTGTACTCACCAGAGGGGTGCTATATTCCAGTGGCGTATCAAACGTGCGTTTGTTTTTTAACGGAACACCTCATATTTTATTACTGATTTGGAAAGTACTTGAAAGATACTTATTTTTTATGCAACATGTTATACCCTTAACTTTTAATATTTCGCTGTTATAACCTTTTTTCGTCAAAATTGGACAGTTTTTCGAATTTTTTTTTAGAGAAACTAAATCGCGCAGGGGGCTAGGTTTTGGACGGAGGCACAGGTTAAGCCCTCTTCCATAGTCACATAATTTTAATTTGAGGTACTTAATTAAATTTTTGATAACCGAAAGAAAAAATTGTATCAATTATAAGATATTCTATGCTACCTGCTTTTTAATACGACTCTTATAATCTAATGGAGCAGTACATCGCGAAAATATCTTTAAAAAATCTTTTATGTCAAAAAATGCTCCTTAGTGATGAAAAAGGGTGTACAAAATTTCATACAAATATCTAAGAGTGATAAAAAATTATGATATAAAATTTTAACACTCGGTAGCACAAAAACTAAGAGGTTTATAACATATATTGATATAAACTTTTCTCTTTAAAATCACCCAAGGATTCACACCCTGTATTATCGACACTCAATTAATTAACACCATGTAAATATAAAGTTATACCCCAATTTGAGTTAACATCATTTGTTTCATACAAATGGTAATTTTGCTCCTGGGTGTATAGAAGCAAGCTTTACACAGAAACGGAAGATAACGTAGAGGATATCTAAGAAGAAAGATGATGAAATTTCCAACACAACCAATGACGAAATAATGGAGGTTCACTTCTAAGATCCGTTCTTCGGTAAAGACGCATTCGTCAATCTTTAGATGTGATTTGCGGAAGAATTCAAAGAATCTAAAGAAATTGATAAAAATTGAAGGGAAACATCTGGAACACCTGAAAAAAATCTGTAGAATTAAATTCAGACAATTTATAACTGAAGAATGAAAGGATCCGGTGTAATAAATCTAAAGTTTGGTGAAATTCATGAGCTAGAAGATCGGAAAAGCCGAAATAATCCAAGTTGAGGGAAAAAGAAGAATCCGAATCAATATAATCTGTAGAATGAATTGAAAAACTGGTGAATCCTATCGGAATCTAAAAAATCTCCTGCACAATCTGAAAGAATTCGAAGAATCTAAATGAAGCATCTGAAAAAATGGAAAACTTGGAAGAATTTTGATAAATAATTAGGAACAATACCAAGCGTTTGAAGTTACGTGACTCTAAAGAAAATGAGCTCAGGGAATTCGAAGGAATGAAAGATTCTGAAAGGGTAACTCATTGCTTCGTTTTTTGCACAAGAAATAAGCCATTCCATTCGCTTTTATTTAATTACACTCTCACTTCTTTCTTATCTTGTGTTATGCCCATTAAAATTCGCGTCGACCAATTTTTAATCTGAAACTGATTTTAAAATTTGTAACTGAACCTATAGTCAAATTTCTTAAATGGAAAATTTCATAAAATAGGAAGCGGTCGATATCCCTTGATCTGTATTTCAGTTATTTAATCTCATAGTCTGACCGTATAATAGAATGATGTATTATCTAGCGTTTTTCTTTTTTTAAAAACTTTGCCGAAATTTCTTTATTTGTTATTACTTTGTTTTAATACATCTCGTCGTTGTATTACTTGACTGAGGTGATGAAAAACCGATTGTTATGATATTATTATTTATGACTATACATGGTGCCCCAAAGAAAATGTGTACCCCCTGAAACTCGGCAAAATTAATGTTTGGTAAAAACCACAATTTGATATCGGGGAGGAGGGGGTCAATTATCATGCAACAAAAATAATTCTTGCAACTTTATCTTTTTATAAGAATAGCAACCTCCCACAAGTTTTTAAATAGAACAATAGACAAATTACTTATAATTTGGAATGGATTTTCATTATTTAAATAACGGATTATTTAGTTACAAAAAATGGGGCTGGGAAGCTTCAAAGATTAAAAATCAATAAAAGCCCATAAAGTTTTATATATTGCTCGAAATGGCCCCCACTTCCATACAATAATACAATCTTGAATCAACCCAGATCTTACACGTTCTAGGACTATGGAAGTTAAACTCGAAATTAAATAATATATATGTTCATCAATTCCCTATACCACAGATTACCCTACACTGCAACATAATTAAAATTTATAT